CGGTTGTCTGTGTTTGGGGAGAAAGTGGGAATGGGGAGTGATGCTATTGGGTTTAAGGTTTCTTTTGGGGTTGATGAATATGTTCTGGAATTATGGTGATATGTCTTAGTTTGAATATGTTCTGGAATTATGGTGATATATCTTTGTTTTCTGTAGCTGTAACAGAATACCACAAACTGGATAATTTATAAAGAAAAAAAGTTTATTTTACTCATGGTTCTGAAGGCTGGGAAGTTCAAGATCAAGGGGTCACATCTGGTGACGGCCTTCTTGCTGTGTCATAACTTGTTAGAAGGGCATTCACATGGTGAGAGAGGGCTAGAGACTGTGAGGAAGAGAGAAAGGGGGCTGAATTCCCATGATAACTAATCCACCCTCTCAATAAATGCATCAATTCATTCATGAAGGCAAAACCCTCATAACTGATTCACCTCTTCTGGGTCCCACCTCTCAATACCTTCACAATGGCAATTCAATGTCAACGTGAGTTTTGGAGAGGACATTCAAATCACAGCATGCTGGTTGCATAACTTTGTGAATATATTAAAAACCATTGAGTTGCACACTTTAAAATGGTGTGTTTTATGGTATGTACATAACAAATCAAATTTAGAAAACAATGTGACCTTTTAGCCAAAGCTCATTCTGAGACATCCTTACTATCATGGAATTTGGAATTTCTTTCCTTGTGAATGGTGATGCCAGATTTATTTTATAAGCCCAGCTGCTGGCAATAGTGGCTTCTACTTATCTATTATCTATGGTAATCTATTCAGATGGTATATAATAATCTATTCAGATAGTGTTTAGTAATCTAATTATTAGCCCTATGTAGAGAGGTGTAGGCGGTGTGACAGTGGCAAGACCTTAGCTCTGACAGCAAGACAGGTCTGTATTTGAAACCTAGCTCTATCATTTACTTCCTGTGTAATCTTGAAAAAGTTGCTTAATCTCTGAGAGCCTTAGTTTTCTCCCCTTTAAATTCGGGATACTGATGTACCTAGTAAAGTTTTTGTGAGGATTAAACTTTCAGACAGAAAACTTGGCACATTTACAGTTCAGGAAATTAATCTTTTCCTTTAAATGTTGTAATATGATACTTGTCGCATTTCCTTTAGAGGCAAATTGATCTTGCCTGGAAAAATGACAGAATAACAACAAACTAATATCTTTGAATCTTTTTGTAGAATAAAGTATTTGGGGACAGGAGATCAATGAACGTTTCCATTTTTTCCTATTTACTCTTTCTGAGTAGGGTATTTATGTTTTCTATGCTAAGGTTGAGCTTCAAATGAATTTACGGTGTTTGCAAAGGTGACCTTCCTGGGTATGTGCAGCAGCTTAATCCTCAGAAGAAAGAAATGCCATTGTCTTTTGTCCTGTATTGACCCTGAGCTTAATTTCTTTGATACTAGGTATGCTGGAGTAGTTGTTCAGTTCTTTTAGGAAAATACATTTATTTTTGACTTAGAAATATTAATATGGACACATTTGTTTTTCTAGGCTTTTAATATGTTCTCTTTAATTCAGATACCATTTGAGAATATACTTCCTGCTTCTGGTGAGAAGTTGGGGAATTTGGAGGGATACTAAAGGCTAGCTTGATTTATGTATTTTTTTTGTGTGTGTGTGTATATGGAGAAATTGAAGCCTAGAGAGGAGAAGTGACATGCCCAGTCTCCCTGCCAGTAAGTGACATAATTGCGCCTAGAAGAGGAGAAGTTTGAGAAGGGGGAGAAGGGGTAATGTTTATTTCTACCATGTGTTGGCACTCTACATTTATCATCTGTCTCAGTCTGTTTTCAGCTGCTATAGCAGAATACAACAGACTCTGGGTAATTTAGGAAGAACGGAAATTTGTTTGGCTCATGATTCTAGAGGCTGGGAAGTCTGAGAGCATGGTGCTGGCATCTGGCAAGGGTCATCCCATGGTGAAAGGATGGAAGGCAGAAGTGAGCATGTGGGATAGAGAGAAGAAATCAATCATCTGAACTCACTTTTATAACAAACCCAGTCTTGTGATAACTAACCCACTCCTGCAGTAAAGGCATTAATTCATTCAGGAGCTCTCATGACCTAATCACCTCTTAAAGGCCCTGCATCAATTAAATCTCAAGGTGTTTTAGAAGAGACAAGCATTCAAACCATACCATACTCTAATTTAGTCTTTACAGCAACACTGTCAGGTAGATATCATCATGCCTTTTTGACAAGTGAGGCAACTGAAGCTCATAGGGGATAAGTCATTTATCTAAAGTCACATAGCAAGAAGATGATAGAATGAAGTTGCCAATCTAGGTCTATATCTTTCTAAAACGCATGCTCCATCTATTTCTCTATGTTGTCTCCTAAGCTAGAATCCTTGTCATCTAATACCCTATCTAATATTCTTTCTAACATACCACATGCTTTTCTTATCTACAATCCTGCGTAATCTCCTTCTTTGAGGAGAAATAAAACTCGAATGCATGGAGATGGATTTAAGCTTAATATTAAGGAAGGAGTTTTTAGTAGAGACATCCTGAAAGCAGGGAATGGCCTGCCTCAATAGAAAGTATGTGCTCTGTCATTTAGCATAACTAACAGTCCCGGACAAACTGAGACTTCAGGGTTTCCTGGAATGTGGGGCTTTCAGTTTTAATACTGGGTTAGTCCTGGGCACATCATAAAAAGTTGATTACCAGTACTGTCATTAGAGGTGTGTGAGCAGGGCTGGATGGCTAATGGATAAGGTTGCTCAGGGTTTGAAGTGTTATGTGAAAGATTGAATAAGACTATATGAGTCACCTCTGTTAGTGTAGAACAAGGTGTTTACCTCATTGCTTGTGTTTTTAGACCTAATGTCCAAATCATGGGCCAGAGACATGGCAGGTAAATATAACAAGAATAAAGCAAAGAGTGACTTATTACTCTCTGTACTACTTAAACATAGTTTTGTTGTCACTGGCATTTTGATTTGTTCGTTCATTTTTGTTTTGTTTCACTGTAAGAACATGCTCTCAGGTGGTAAAGCTTTATTTCCTGACTCAACACCTGGGTGTTCCCCCTGCAATTTTGTCATATCTGGCCAATGAAGCTTTCTGACCCCTAGCAGGTTATGTTGTGATATAATATGAAATATATACAGTCATGTGCTGTATAGCAATGTTTCAGTCAACGACATACTGTATATATGAAGGTGGTTTGAAAAATTGGCTATACCATTTAGCCTAAGTGTGTAGTAGGCTACATTATCTAGGTTTGTTTAAGAATACTCTATAATGTTCACACAACAAAACTGCCTAACAATGCATTTCTCAGAATGTATACCCCTTGTTAAGCAACATATGACTGTATTTGGTCTTTTTCCTTGGTTCCTGACACAGCCTTGGAATTTTCTGAGTGATAGAGATTAGAGGAGTGTCTTTTGTTATTCATAATAAGCTCCTTTCAGACGTGCCTGAATTTATGTAAATGAGGTGACTCTTGGAGGATGGAGTCTGGTTGCCAGAGGAATCAACCACATGACTAGAGATTTGGAACTTTCAGCCCCACTCTCTGACATTCAGGGAGGAGAGAGGGGCTTGAAATTGACTTAATCACCAATGTCCAGGGATTTAGTCAGTCATGCCTACATAATAAGGCCTCCATAGAGACGCTAAACAATGTGCTTTAGAGATCTTCCAGGTTGGTGAACACATGGAGGTACTGGGAGGTGGCATGTCTAGAGAGGGCATGGAAGCTCTCACCTCTTCCCACATACCTTGCCCTAATACATCTCTCCCATTAAGCTGTTCCTCAATTGTATACATTACAATAAACTGGTAATAGTATGTAAAGTGTTTTCCTGAGTTTTGTGAGCCATTCTAGGAAATTATCAAACTGAGGAGGGGTTCATGGAAACCACCAATATACAGCCAATTGGTCAGAAGTACAGGTCTCAACTTGGGACTTGCAACTGGTGTCTGAAGTGGGAGTCAGTCTTGTGGGACTGAGCCCTTTACTTGTGGGGTCTGCACTGACTCTGGGTAGTGTCAAAGTTGAACACCCAGTTGGTTTTTGGAGAGTTAGAGAATTGCTTAATTTGAGGGAAAACCCCACACATTTGGGGTCAGAAGTGTTGTGTGTGTGTAGAAAAACAGTTGAGTATTTTCATTTTATAGGTGAATCTGGGTTTAATTAGTCTGGGGAGGGGTGTGGCATTGGTGTTGTTTTAAGCTCCTCTAATATGTAGCTAGTGTTGAGGATCACTGCCTTAGACCCAGCAAGGAACAGAAGTAACATTTACTGAATGCTTACTATGTGTGTTGGGAGCTGTACATGTATTATCTTATTTAACCATCATAGCAACCCTGTGAGATAGGAATTATATCGAGGTAAGGAAAATGGGTCTCAGAGAGATTGAGTAACTTGCCTAAGGTCACACAGCTAGTAAGCCAAATATGTTTTTACTTGACCACAGTGCTTTTAAAAACAAGAAGAAAGATACTTAACACTTTACAGAACCTGTTGACAACACATTATTTTATTCTATCTCCATTACCACCCTGAAGTAACAATTATTAATATTCTAGTTTTACATATGAGGAAATTAAGGCATGCAAAGGCTAAATTGAGACAAATTTGTCTAGGTTGATAAGTGTACAGCAAGGACCCAAACTCAAGTTTTGAAATTCTAGAGCTGCCATTCATTACACAGCAAACTCATTGCCCCTCCTCTAATCTTTTTGCTTGTCTATGAAGTGAGAGAAGTCATAGCTACTCCTCGGGTGACTGTGAGGATTAAATAAAATATTAACTATGAATAAACTTTTGAGTAGAGGTACTGACAACAAAAGGAAAGAAAAGAAGAAACGTTCAATAGGCAATGGACACTTTTCCCTGCTGGTCTTAGATGTGATAGCTTCTTTTAGTGGTCATGTGGGCTTAGGGCACTGGTCCCTACTTTCTGTTGCACAGATACCTATTTGTCTGTCAAGCACCATGATTAATTTGCTTTATCTTTTATTCTATTTTTCCAGCTGAATCCTTCAAGGAATTTGCTGAATTGCTCAATGAAGTAGAAAACGAGAGGATGATGATGGTAGGTCATTAACACTGGGCTTGGAGCTGAGATCATGGCTGAGATTGGGGATTTTTCCTGTTCTTATTGATTGGATTGATCCTCTGCTGTTTCAGTTTCTGTCTCATAGCTTCCTGGTGCTGTAAAAATAGTTAGATAATAAAGCTCCTTATTTCTCTAGCTCTCACCCTGAGCAGTTTGGCATTAGGTCACGGGAAATTAATGTGGAAATTCCATCTCTATTCATTCCAGTGGGAAAGGATTTCAGAGGACATTGAACTGGGCTTTCAACATGCTGACAAAAATTGTGGTCTTTAGTGTTTTTACCATGTTATCCGTTTTTAAATGTTTCTCTAATACCAGAAATAATATGGACTTTAAATGTATTTGACAAATGATTATTTTATTGAAATTTATGCAAAAAATTTTTTCTTACATTTAAAGTCTAATTTTTAAAACTTTACATAGACTTAAAACTAAATAGACTTTAACTTTTAGAGTGGTTTTAGTTTTATAGAAATACTGAGTGGAAAGTATAGAGAGATCTCATATACCTTATCCTCCCCTCCCCCAACAGTTTTTCCCTATTATTTACATCTTGCAAGTATGGTGCATTTGTTATAATTCATGATCTAATATTGATACAGTATTATTAACTAAAGTCCATAGTTTACATTAGGGTTCACTCTGTGTTACACATTATGTGGGTTTGACAAATGTATAATGGCATGTATTCACCATCACAGTATCACCATACAGAGTAGTTTCATAGCCCTAAATATCCCCTGTTCTAAACCCTCCCTACCTCCTCCATCCCTGAAATCCTGATAACCACTGACCTTTCTTTTTACTGTTTTGACTTTTCCAGAATGTCGTATAGTAGGAATCATACAGTATATAGCCATTTCAGATTAGCTTCTTTGACTTAGCAATATGCATTTAAGGTTTCTCCATGTCTTTTCATATCTTGATCGCTCATTTCTTTTTATCGTTGAGTATTATTTCATTGTATGATGTACCACAGTTTATTTATACATTCACCTACTGAAGGGTATCTTGGGTGCTTACAAATTTTGGCAACTATGAATAAAGCTGATATTAACATTTGTGTGTAGGTTTTTGTATGGACATAAGTTTACAACTGATTTGGGTAGATACTAAGGAACACGATTGCTGGATCATATGGTAAGAGTATGTATAGTTGTGTAAGAAACTACCAAACTGTCTTCCAAAGTGACTGTACCATTTTGCATTTCCACCAGCAATGAAATGAGAGTTTCATTTGCTCTGCATCCTCATCAACATTTGCTGTTGTCAGATTTTGGTCATTCTAAGAGGTGTGCAGTGGTATTTCCTTGTTTTAATTTGCAGTTCCCTAATGACATATTTCACATGTGTATTTTCATATGCTTATTTGTCATCTGTGTATCCTCTGGTGACGTGTCTGTTCAGGTCTTTTGCCTATTTTTTTTTTTTTTTGTCTTTTGTCTTTTGTCTTTTTCCATGTCCGGCAACGGATCGCAACCCTCAGTGTTGCCCCCGTACCGGACCAGGGACCGGCAACAGGATCGCAACCCTCGGTGCTGCTCCTGTGCCTCGCTCAGCCAGTGAGCAGGAACCGGTCTGTATGTGGGATCCGAACCCTCGGGCGGGAGCGCCGCCGCGCTTCCCAAGCGGTGCACTATCCAGTGCGCCACCAGGCCGGCCCTCTTTTGCCTATTTTAAAATTGGTTGCTTGTTTCTTATTGTTGAGTTTTAAGAGTTTTTTGTATATTTTGGATGCCAGTCGTTTATCGGATTTTTATTTTGCAAAGATTTTCTCCTAGTCTATGGCTTGTCTTTTCATTTTCTTAATAGCGTCTTTGGCAGAGCAGAAGTTTTTAATTTTAATGAAGTTCAATTTATCATTTTTTTCTTTCATGGATCATACTTTTGGTGTTGTATCTAAAAAGTTACTGACAAATGCAAGATCACTTAGATTTTCTCCTACATTATCTTCTAAGAGTTTTATAGTTTTGTGTTTTACATTTAGGTCTAAAAATCTTGTGAAGGGTGTAAGATCTGTGTCTAGATTCATTTTTCGCATATTGATGTCCTGTTATTCCAGCACCATTTGTTGAAAATACTATCCTTTCTACATTGAATTACCTTTTCTCCTTTATCAAAAATCACTTGACTATATTTGTGTGAATTTATATTTGGGTTCTCTGTTCCATTGATATATTTGTCTATTCTTTCACCAATACACATTGTCTTGGTTACTATAGCTTTGTTGTTAAGTTTTGAAGTCAGGACTCAACTTTAGAATCATTTTGTCAGTATCCACAAAATAACTGGCTGGGATTTTGATGGGATTGCATTGAATTCATAAATCAAGTTGGGAAGACATTTTAAAAATATTGACTCTTCCTATTCATGAGCATAGATTAAATTTCCATTTATTTAGATCTTCTTTGATTTCTTTCATTAGAGTTTTATAGTTTCTTCATATAGATCTTTTACACATTTTGTTGGATTTGTACCTAATTATTTCATTTTATTGCGAAGTCTAATTATTTTAACAGTTTGAAAAATAATCTTTTTATGTGGTCCCTATACCAACAGCACTGGAGTCAACTGGGAAATTGTTAGAAATGCAGGTCGCTGGCTCCACCGTAAATGTACTGGGAACTTGAATGTGGAAGTACCTATGTTGATCAATATTCATTTTTATTTAGGACATGAGGGTAAAGTTGCAACTCTTTAGAGTATAGCAAAGTGGGTTTCTTTTCCCTTTTCTCATAGGATGACTTCCTAATGGCATCTCATTTTTGTTAAATCCATTTATCTCAATAGCAAGAGTTCTTTTATCTGTAATGTCTTTTCCTTTTCAATAATCTAGAAGGATTGAAGACTGGCCTTGGAGGTAGAGGAATTAAAGACTGAGGCTGTAATTCTGGCTCTACCACCAGCTTACTTGTTGACTTCAGACTAATCACTTTGTTTTCTGGGCCTTCCTTTTCTTATTTGTGAAGTGAAGAAAATAATCCCTACCTCTTATAGTTGTTATAAGTACTCCAAATGATATAATGATTATGGAGCTGTTTTATAAAGGGAAAAAAACACATTGATTATATAAATGTTTTTAGTTACCTTTGGTTACTCACACGATTCTGCTTGTGGAAACGTGACTTGGGAATTGTCTTAGTTTAATGATTACATTGTGTAATGATGAATATACCAATTATCCTGATTTTTGCATCACATATTACACACAGGTATTGACATTCAATGCAGTACCCCACATATATGTACAATCAATTATGTTTTAATAAAAAAATAAACTAACAGATAGAAATGGCAAAATAAATAAATAAAGATACTAAGGAGAGACCAATATGGGTGGCTTCCCTGGAACCTCTTAGATGGCCCACTAGCTACTCTACACTCTGCTAAATGTTTTCCTCTGTCCAAAGAGTTCAGACTGCTGCTCACCTTGTTTTCAAAGGCATTCCCCCTTTTTCACTCAGATACCACTAGAAAGCTCAGCTGTGCTTCTGTTCAGCCTTAGTTGTTTCTTGATCTCTTTTATTTTTCCAGTAACAAAGCTTTGAAATATTGAAGTAGGATTTATTTTTTTAGATGTTTTTTCTTACTCTTCCTGCTGGCTATGCCACGTGAATGACTCATCTTCTTCTGTCTTTAATTATGTTATGCTGTTTTTTCCCCACAGCTTTTCAATCCTGTATTGAGTGCTTGCTCCCCATTTCCCACTTAATTCCAGGAATGCTATAAATGTTAGGCTTAATGAGAGCCTTTAACACCATACCAGGAATTCATTTCTTATTTGTACCTCTTCCATTTCCTGGGGCTGTGGCAAAAGGACTCCTCTACCCTAATCTGGATAGTCTGGGAAGTGTTAAACAGCTTTTCATCCTTTCTAAAAGAAGAATCTAAAATAAACTTTGCATTAACAGGAAGGAAATTCATAGCCCTAGAATGTGGCAATTGCCAGTGTCTGGTCATCCCCATGAATAAATATAAATTGTGGCAGGACCTATGAAGGGAAGAGATGGGAAAGCATCCTAGCTGTGATATTCTTAAAAGTACCCTGGGAGAGGTTGTAGTATCTCAGAAGGTGGCCTTTAACAGTCTGGATTGCAGCCTTCCTATATGATTAGGAAGCTTGACTAGATGCCTTTCTGACTCTGAAGGGGGCTCTGTTGGCAATCTGCTAGGTCTCTCTTTGAGGACTGCCAAAAATGACCTAAAGAGGCCCATAGAATTTCAAATGGTGTATCCTCAGTGCCCTCTTTTGATAATTTGTTCACCATCAACGATTCCAGAGTAATCCTGCTGTACTGGACTCATTACCATCTCCTTTCTGCTAAATAACTTATCCAGTATTAATTTGGGCTTTATTCAATAGGAATCTGATTAGATAAACTCACTAATGTGTTTAGGATGTCACTTCTCATGGTGGGGATCCTACCCTGAAATAGAAGGTAGGAGTTTTTTTCTCCCAGAGAACTCACAAAATGGAGGCACTGATCAGAAAAAGGATTAAAGGCCAAGTTTACTTTTTTTTTTTTTTTTTTTATAAAAGATGACCGGTAAGGGGATCTTAACCCTTGACTTGGTGTTGTCAGCACCACGCTCACCCAGTGAGCAAACCGGCCATCCCTATATAGGATCCGAACCCACGGCCTTGGTGGTGTCAGCACCGCACTCTACCGAGTGAGCCATGGGGCCGGCCTCCAAGTTTACTTTTAAGTAAACTTTTAAGGGCTTATTTGAGTAGTTGCTAGATACTCAAGGGGTTTAAGGAAAACAGAATGAAAAAGGGAAAAAAAAAAAAAAAAAAAAAGCCAGGCTTCAATGTGACCTTTTCCTATATCCCCAGCTCAATGTTATGGTAGAAAGTAGTATAATAGGGGCCGGCCCGGTGGCGCACTGCTACAGGGGCGACGCTCCCGCCAAGGGTTCGGATCCCACATACAGACCGGCGCAATTCTGGTAAGGGCTCGTATAACTTCGTATAATGTATGCTATACGAAGTTATTACGAGGGTTGCGATCCGTTGCCAGTCACGAAAAAAGACAAAAAGGAAAAAAAAAAAAAAAGAAAGTAGTATAATAACCAATGAGTGTCAAAGTGAGGAAAAAGTTCAGAATATCTATTTGTGATGTCATAGATTGGGAACAGTATTGCCCATACAAGTAAGGGAAAACTGTGGACTTCAATTTAAGTGAATCATATAGTACTTTGCCAGACTGAGCTGGGGTCAAACACATAAAATGCAGTGGCCTTATGGACCCTTTGTGAGAAATTGCTGACACACTTGCTTATGCAGGACCTTTGGAACATGAAATATCAGCAACTGGGCCATCCTGGGGGATCCTGAATATGCAAGGAAGGGCCCAACTGTGTATCTTTACAGAGGCTTGGTACATGCTATTCTCTTTTACAAAGTGGCATATGTTAACATCTTATTCAAAGGCGTACTTCACTTTTTACGTGCTACTTTGTGAAACTAGAAATAGTTTTTCTAATTATCTACTGCTGCATAACAACATATTCCGAAAATAAGTGGCTTAAACTAAAACTATTTAATTATATCTCATTATTTTGTGGCTCAGGGTTTCAGGCAGGACCCCGTTGGGTGATTCTTCTGATCCACTTGTTGGTATTCATCTGGCAGATGGGTTGATATGGATGGTCCAAAATAACTTTCCTCACACGTTTGGCACCTTGGCAGGGATGGCTGGAAGGCTGGGTTCAATCGGTGTGAGACACTGACCAGAATGTCTGCATTTGGCCTCTACAGCTTGGTAATCTCAGGGTAGTCCAACTTCTTACATACTGTTTTGGAGCTCTCAGACAGAGTGTTCAAAGAGAACTAGGTGGAAGGTGCTGGCCTTTTATGACCTAGCCTCAGAAGTCACAGAATATCATTTCTGCTACTCTATTGGTTAAAAACAATAACACGCCCACTCACATTCAAGGGGCAGGGGGACACAGATCTCACCTGTTACTGGGAAGTGTGTCAAAGAATTTGTGGCCATGTTTTAAGAATTCTAGAATACAAAAGGAGAAGAATGACTTTCTGTACTGGATTTATGACACCAATGACTTTATCTCCAGGTGAGTACACAAAGTTGATTGTACATAATCCACAGTCTAAGAAAGTGTAAAACATGTTGGACAAGAGATGTGGGCTAGTACTTTTAACAGAAAAATTCTTGTTTCCAATCAGGCAGAGTTACTGGTGTCTTCATTTCTGATACCAGAGTTGCTAGTGGAGTGTTGATTGGATGAAAGATCAAAGTGAATCTTTGTAGAACCTCTGTAGAAAAGCCTCTAATAGGGGATCTGGCAGGTAGGAATTCATGGGCTTTCCTGTCTTTGGCTAATGAACATACTCAGGGATTAAGTGTCATACCAGTAGGTAGGTTATAGTATAATCACGATTAAATGAAGTATGGAACAGGATTTCATATATCTAATAGATGAGAAGAGATATGATGAGAATCAGACAGGGTCTGGAAGTCTTGGCAGGCAAGAGGTCTGTTTTTACAGGAATCAGCAAGGGTAGGGAAAGGTTACATGATTTTTGTAAGTCTAGGCTTGTAGCAAATAGGGTTTAGAAAGTCAGCCGTAGAAACACTGGTGATCAGGATACATATAGAGAATGACACTGCCCCTAAGGCAAACATTATTTCTTTTTGCCTAGTTTTATATTCTCTGCTTGGTGTTGGCAGTCCTGGATGGTAGCATTAGGAGCTGCAGTAGATCAGAATGTTAGGGATCACCAGATTTTTCTCACATAAAGGTTGGCAGTGCCTTGTGTTTTAGTCTGTTTTGTGTTGCTATAACAGAAATACCTGAGAGTGGGTAATTTATAAAGGCAAGAGGTTTATTTGGCTTACAATTCTGGGACAGCTGCATCACGCACAGGCCTCAGGCTGCTTCTACTCATGGTGGAAAGTGGCAGGGAGCCGGCGGGTACAAGCAGATCACATGGTGAGAGGAAGCGAGAGAGGTGCCAGAGTCCTATAAACAACAAGCTCTCGCGGGAACTAATAGAGCGAGAACTCACTAACTACCCCTCCTCCCCCAGGGAGAGCATTAATCCATTCATGAAGGATCCGCCCCATGACTCAATCAGTTTCCAACACTGACATGTCAGAGACCAAATTTCCACATGAGTTTTGGAGGGGACAACACATCCAAACTCCATCACCTTGTCAGGAGTTTGCCCATTTAGTTGAACCCTGAGCTATACCTGGATACAATACAGGAGGCGCAAAGAACCTGCAGGACATGGGTAAAATATATACTAATGCCCCAACTTTCCATGCTTTTTAGTGGTGGGTTGAAAATTACTTCTTAGTCTGGAGAATTCTGACCTATCTTTCCATTCTGTCTTCTGTTTTTGTTATGAAGATATATTTTGTCGTATTGACACATTATATCTCATCTGACAAGGAAACCAATCCCTTATTTCCCTTTTTTGTAACAGATCAAAATTACTACAAAATGGGTCCTAAAAGCTAGCCCTTTAGATACTTTCTCTGAGGTCTTCCATTATAGGGAATGCAACTCTCACCACTGGGGAAACAAACCCCACCTGTTGCCTTGAACAGATGCAATCTCACAAAAGGTTTATATGAAGAAAAAGTTTTGTATATTTTTACCTGCCCATGGAACAAGGGGTCCACTTTGGATCTGATATTTTCATATCTCCAGAACCTTTCAGTGCCAATATATGTAGTTCTTGGACAGGCTGTTCCTATCAGCTTCTGAGCATCTATAGTGATACGATTTGAAGGCCTGGTCTAGTGTTCTGTGTGATGCTAGAATACAGTGTAAGTTCTGAAGGAAATGTTCTGGTTCTATGACACAACAGAACAGGACTGTAAATGATTTATCCTGATGTTATTAATGCTAGCTCATTTGCCTCTCATGAAATGGTTTGCACTTGGTACATTTGGCCTTTTCGTGTATTTGCCATTCCCATTCTCTTCACTTTTCCACATGTACTTCAGGCCCCCTGGGTCTGCTGCTGTATATGTCTTTAGATATTTATTGATTAAAAATTCATGTCAGACTACCATTAAAGTTAAGAAAAATACCCCTATTTTTTTCCTCTTATTTCCTTTCAAAGCATTTAATTTTCAGGGACAATGTGGGAAAACAAAACAAAACAAAACAACTGTAACAAAAACCGATAAACCAGCAAACCAGTTAACAATTTGCAGGACGGTGTATTATAAGAAAATTCCATAGTAACAAGAAATTTTGTTTCTGAACCTTGTTAACTTAAAAGTTGTTTTGTGTGTTTTTTAATTTTTCTCTAGGTGCACAATGCTAGTGATTTGCTGATAAAACCCCTGGAAAATTTCCGGAAGGACCAAATAGGCTTTACCAAGGTACAGTTTCTCTATATGCATAAGAAATTTTTAAAATAGCAATTGAGTAGTTGTTTGGGCTACCACCCTTCACTCTGCAAGGGTATGATGTGTTTTATTTATTTATTTATAAATTTTTTATTAGCTTATTCGTTGTTGCAAATCATACTTATTCTTTATGCCCCTTATCCAATCTCTCCCCCTCCCCCTCTCCCTTTCCTCCTCCCCCGTCTAATAACCATAGATTTGTTCTCTCCATCTGATAGATTAACTGTTCCTTTGTTGGTTTGTTGCCTAGATGATCTGTCCAGTATTGAGACAGGTGTGATCAGGTCCTCCCCTATTATCGTAAATCAAATGCTTCTTCTATTACTCTGGAATGAGATTTGTGCAGAGAGAGGACCTCTTCCTCTTTTTTATTTTGGTCTCTTCTGGTGCCTCTCCTTGTGTCAATGAGGTTGAGAGTCTGGCATGCTATCTGCACAGTGGCTGTGACTGCTGCTATGGAGACTAGCTGCTTTTGTGGCAGCTGTGGCAATTGGGGTGGCTATGGAGGACTGTCTGTGTGAAAATGGTGTTTATGGTGTCCTCTTTACCTGGTTTCAGCTGGGTTTGGCTTCCCCTGGCTCCATGCCTTGGGACCCTGGAGGGGCTTGAGGTGGTGGTGGTACCTTGCCTAGTTGTGGCTGGGTTTGACTTTCCGTAGCTCCATGCCTCAGGGCCCTGATGGGGCCTCAGCATGGTGGCAGCAGCTTGCCTAGTTGCAGCTGGACTTAGCTTCCCCTGGCTCCACGCCTCATTCTAAGGTGTTGTTATGGAGCAGCTGGAGGGGAGAAGGAGAAGGGAAGGGGGAGGGGAATTAGGGTGGAAAGAGGGGGAAGGAGAGGGAGCATGATCAAGGCCTGTGGCCCCCACCCCTATTCTGGCAGGGGAGACCAGGGGACTTCCAGAGGTGGCTGGGTCATTGCTAGGCTGGATGCAGATGTCAAGGGGTATGGCTGAAGCCCTTGGACCCCCACTGCCCCAGGTTGGGAGCCGGACCACTTCCTGTGGTGGCTTGGTGGTTGTCACTGGGCTAGTTCTGGATGTTGGGGAGGCATGGCTGAAGCCCTTTTCCCCCCACCACCCTGGCTTGGGACCTTGGGCACTTTTTGTGGCGGGTCAGTGGTCATTTCTGGGCTGGTAGCTGATATCAGGAAGGGCATGTCTGAGCCCATCAGCCCTCCACTGCCCTGGCTTGGGAGCCCAGGGCTCTTCTGGCCACAGCTCAGTGGTTGTTGCTAGGCTTGTTGCAGATGTTGGGGAGGTGTGGCTGAGGCCCCCAGTTCCCCACTGCCTCATCTTGGGGGCCTGGGGTGCTTTCTTCTATGGCTCAGTGGTCATCGTTGGGCTGGTAGCAGATGTCAGGAAGGTCGTGGCTGAGGCTCTTGGCTCCCCACCTTCCTGGCTTGGAAGCTTGGGGTGCTTCCTGCGGCAGCTTGGTAGTCATTGCTGGGCTGGTTGTGGATGTCAGGGGGGCGTGGCTGAGGCTGTAGGCCCCCCACCATCCTGGCTTCGAAGCTCAGGGCTCTTCCTGCAGTGGCTTGGTCTTTGTCACTGGGCTAGTTGTGGATGTCTGGGGCCTGTGGCTGAGGACCTCCATCCCCCACCACTCAGGGGCCCAGGGTGCTTCCTGCAGTGGCTCAGTGGTGGTTGCTAGTCTGGCTGGGGATGTCAGTGCGGTGTGGCTGAGGCCCTTTGCCCTGCCCCACTTACTGGCTTGGGAGTCAAGGTGGCTTCTGGTCCTTCTAGGTTTTATAGGTGTTCTTTGGTGGTGTTAGACCTTTACTAGTTCGTATCAAACTTTGTGTGTGATCTGTGGATATTTTGTTTTTTCTTTCAATTCTGCATTGGATTATTCACTATTCCCACCACTTAAATTCTGCACTGGAACTAATTTGTTGTCCTTTGCTTACTTCTAAAATGGGCGAACTTCCTGTGGGGACCAGCACTTGAGCCCTTTAGTTGAGGCTAAATTGCTTCATTGCTGCTGATTCCCTGGAGAAGGCTTTTTGTGCAGCTCAGGTTTTAATTGTTGACCTTGTATATACTTCTGGATCATGTGAGGTCCAGTACACCTGGGTTGTGTGGAAACTCTGGTCTGGGCCTGAGTTTTTTCAGCAAACTGCCCCCCCTGCAGTTCTATATTTCTGACTAGTCTCCACTGAGTGGGCCTATGCTGAGTGGAGGGCAGATCAGCTGTGTATGCTGTGCCGCAGGGTTCCCCTGGTAGACCCGTCTCCCCCACCACCCACGCTCTAATCACTTCCCATAGGACGGGCAATGCACTGGTCCCTTGCAATGACTCACCAGCCTCTGAGTGGCTCCTTTTTTCTGTTGTCTGTGGCTCCTTGCTCCTTTGTGGGTCCATAGGAACCCTGTTAGTGGTCTTGCTGGCCTGGGGGCCACCAAGGCCCTCTTCTCCCCTGCCACCTCCAAGCAACTTCATACGAAGGGCACAGCTGTGGCTTTTGCCAGCTCTTGCTCAGAGTGCTCACCAGCTTCAGCCTTGAAGTGGCCTGGGCTCACAGTGGTGGGAGTGATCCTTTCTTTCTCTCATTGTGGCTTCTCCTGCCTTTGTGAACTCCGTAGGTCTCTCCTCCTCTTCCCTTGAGCTCTAGCAGCCCTAGCTTGACTGTCATTGCTTTTTAATGCTGTAAATTGGTTGATTTGTGGGAAAGTGACACTGGGGACTGTCTATTCTACCATCTTGACAGGAAGCCCTATGATGGTTATTTTTATATATCAACTTGACTGTGTTACAGGATGCCCAGATAGCTGTTTAAACATTGTATATATGTACGTACACACACACACACACACACACACACACACACACACACACACACACAAGAATACTTTAAAAAGTTCATTGAATGACTAGTATTATCTTAATTCTATTTTTCCACTAACTTTCTGAAGTACCCTTATGTGTGTGTATGAGTTTATGTGTGTGTGTGTGTCCGTGTCCACATCCTGTTGGTAAACACAGACTAATACAGAAACTGGTACCAAGAAATGGGGTGCTGCTGGTACAAATAACTAAAAATGTGAAAGCACCTTTGGAACTGGGTAATTGGTAGGGGCTAAAAGGTATATCCTAGAAAAAGCTGACACTGTTGTGAAGAAACTATTGAAAGCAATTCTGGTAAGGGCTCAAAAAGAAATGAGGAGCACTGTAGAGAAAGCTTTCTTCTTCTTAGAGAATACATAAATTATCATGTAGAGAATGTTGATATAAATGTGGACATTAAAGGAAGTTCTGATGAGATCTCAGATGGAAATGAGGTACATGTTATTGGACAATGAAGAAAAGGCAATTCTTGTTATAAAATGGCAAAGAACTTGGCTAAATTGTATTTATTTTCTTGTGTTCATAGAAGGTAGAACTTGTGTGCAATGAAATGAAATATTTAGCCGAGGGGATTTCTAAGCAAAGTGTAGAAGGTTCCTCTTCTCTGCTTATAGCAAAATGCAAAAAGAAAAAAAAAATAAATTGAAGAAGGAAATCTTAAGCAAAAATGAACCAGAACTTACAGATTTAGAAAATCCTCAGCCTGTCTATATTGCAAAGAATGAGAAAGCAGTTTCTGAAGAGGGTGCTAAGGGTTTGGCTGAGCCACCAGTTGATAAATTAGTATGGGTGTGAACCAGGGATGTAATCATCCATCTCAGTAGAGGCCAGCTGAGATTAAAGAGAACAAGAAAATGGGATGGATGAAGGAAGTCTCTGAACATAAGCTTTCCTTCAAAAAAAAGGAGGAAGGAACCCAAAGGTGATTCAGAGATCATCAGGGCTGCCACTTGGGACAGGGTTAGTTTTTCTTCAGTTTCAATGGGTTAGGTTGCCTCTCCAGTAGTGGAGGGCTAGGATAGCCCCACACAGTGCCTCAAAGGATGGGCCACTGCAGAAATCAGTGTGGCCAACCCCTTCACTACCCTCAGAGTTCAGCTGCATATGCAGCACCCCACGTGACTAAAGGGGCAGGGCCAACTTGCTCAGCCCTGGGGATGACATTGCCACCCTGGAAACCAGAGAACTTAGCCAAAGAGGATTATTCTTAAGCCATAAGATCTCATGAAGTTTGGCTTGCTACATTTTGGACTTACTTAAGGCCTGTCACCCTTTCTTTCTTTCGGAATGGGAATGTCTGTCCTATACCTGTCCCACCATTTTTTTTTTGTTTTTGGAAGCACATCAGTTGTTTGGTTTCACAGGTTCAAAGCTGGACAGGAATTTTGCCTCAGGATAAATGTACCTCAAGTCTCACCCATAATTGATTTAGATGCTATTTAGATGAGACTTTGGACTTTAGAATTGATACTGGAATAAATTAAGACTTGGGGTTGTTGGGATGGATGAATGTATTTTGCATGTGAGAAAGAAATGAATTGGGGAAGGAGGATCAGAGGGGGAATTTTATGGACTAAATGTGCATGTCCTCTCCAAAATTCATGTTAAAATTTCAACCCCTAATGTGATGGTATTGGGAGGTGGGGCCTTTGGGAGTCATGATGGTGGAGCCGTCATGAATGGTGTGTTAGTACCCTTAGGAGCATGAAAGAGATGATTTCTCTCTAGGCCATGTGAGGACACAATGAGAAGATGGCCATGTACAAACCAGGATTATGGCCCTTGCCAGACACCAGTCTTCTGGTGCTTTGATCTTGAACTACCCAGCCTGCAAAACTATGAGAAATAAATGTTTTATTTACACCACCCAGTGTATGGTATTCTGTTATAGTAGCCCAAACAGACTAAGACAAAGGGTGAGGGGGCTGGACTCTGTAAGAAAAATAATCATCAAACAAAGTGAGATAATCTGGAATTGACTCTTTGCTGTGTGACTAGCTCTGTAATGATAGATAAGTCACTTCTCCATTTTTAGTTTCAGTTGTTCCATCTGGAAAATGAGGAGCTTCATAATAATAGCTGTTATTTATTGACTGCCTACTATGTGCTGAGCACTTAGTTAAAGTGCTTTACTTTCATTCCCTAATCACAACAACCCTGTAAGCTTCTGGTATTATCCCTATTTCACAAATGAGCTAACTGAGGCCTGGACAATGTAAATAATATTATCAAAGGTATATAGTTAGTGACAGTAGCCTGGATTTATACCTGAGGATCTTCTTAGCTTCAAATACAGTGTTATTTCCATTAAGGTATGTTGTCTAGATCTGTGCTGTTTGTTATGGTAACCACTAGCTATTTAAGTAAAGTAAAATTAACAACTCAGTTTCTCTCAGTCTTGCTAGCCACACTTCAAGTGCTCAATAGTCACATGTGGCTAGTAGTTACTGTATTGGACAGCAGAGAACATTTGCATCATTGTAGAAAGTTCTATTGGACAGTGTTGTGCCAGTTAATCTCAGATCCCTTTCAGCTTTACCATTCCATATATCTCTTTTACTGCCTCATAAAGGGATATGAGCAATTTTCTTTTCTTTCTTTTTTTTTTTAAAGGTCGGTGGCCAGTTAGGGGATCCGAACCCTCAACCTTGGTGTTATCAGCACCACACTCTAACCGAATGAGCTAACTGGCCAGCCCATACAATTTTCAATTTTTATCTTCTCAGCTAGGTGTGGACCTATTTTGTGAGCTCCAATGTGCATCCAACATGTAGCCAAATTAGTCTGTTATACCGGGACTAAAATCTAGCATCCTGAGCAAGCATCCAGTACTTTTAGGACTAAGAACACACCACCCAGTGAGTATTACTTAGAATAACATGACAATCAGTTTGCATCAAGAATATGAAAGTGGCAAGTTCTTAGAAGAAAGAGCAAACTAGTGGATGTGCTGCCGCTGCCTAATGTCATTAGGTTGACATGGGCATTATTTGGAATGACTGGCATTCAAGCAAAGTGAGTTCTCTAGGTAGCCCAGCAATACTGGATTCCGCTCATTTCATTTGGAGTCTCATTAATATTAATGCTTAGTTGGTAAAGGATATAATTGAAGAACAGAAGAACTTTTAAAAATTACAAGAATGTATGAAAATACTTAACCACTTATTAAATAACATGACAATTGTTACATAACACTGAATAAAGAGGATGAAGAAGGTCATATGATGTGAAAACCCTCATACCTGATTCACTTTCATTCCTGGATGAGAGTAGCAAAAAGAAAGTAAGGATACATTGCAGTGGTTTACCTCATGTCATCTGAGTGAAAAGAAACAAATTTCTATTATATACTTGCTGTGTCCCAGGCTTGGGCTAAGGATATATGCTATCTTCCTTAATTCTCACAGCATACCTGTGCATAAGATTTTTAATATCCATTGTCCCAGTTGAAGAAACTGAGACTCAGAAAGGTTAAATACCTATCATCAGTCTCTTTTCCTACTTCTTTACCGGTGGTGCTAACCTACACACCTACAAAAAAGACCAACTCAGTGCGAAAATCTTGTCTCCAATAAACTATCTAGAATTATTCCAGTAGTAACATTTAGTGGGGAAGAAAGAGCACTGAACTAAGTCCCAGAAAATGTAACTTCCAGCTTACCCCACTGTGTTATCAATTTATTGCCTCTCAGTTCCAAATTCACATCTCAATACCTGCTCTGTGATAATAGACAAAATTCCTATAAGCATCTCCTTTACGGCGAGCACCATGTTAGGCTTTCTCAGTAGAGGGCACTGGCAAGGCAATGCAGGAGGAGGGGGCTCTCCTGAAATTTCTAGCTGCTGCATGGTTGGCCAGTGGAGCTGGAATGAGGACAGATGATAGAGCTCTAACCCAGCCACTAACCCAGAACACATGGTGCCTCAATGACCTCGAAGCCTTCTCCTGACATGGCAATAACCTGCAGGCCTCTCAACATGGAAACAAGCTCCTCGAAGGCCCCATGCCATGCTGTCCCCCAACTTTTCTTTGTAGGCACCCCACATAGCCCACGTCCTAGCTGGATGGTTATAATGGAGCTGCTCCTCCCTCTGCAGGGCCTTCATATAGTCTGCTTGTGCCCTAGGGGATTCCCATTGAACCAGGCTAGCCCTATGAAGCCCACCCTCTCTGTAGACCTACTCCACTGGCTGCTGGTTGTCTGCCCCCTACCTGTACTCTGGAGAGTTGCCTCCTATTTACCTAGTGACGGCAGACCACCAGGCCCAACCAGCAAACTTCTCTGCTATCCAGTGAGTTAAGTCACCTTTTTTAAGGAGGTCTGAACCCCATTGGAATTTGTCCTTCCTTGAACACTTTTTTTTATATAGTTGTACTCTGTATGGTCCAACTTTAGAGTACCATATAGAGTTTCCTTATATCTGATAGTTACTTTGTTATTGTAACATTTTTTTTTTTTTTTTTTTTTTTTTTTTTTTTTTTTTTTTTTTTTTTTT